ATAAAATACATCAACAGAAACAAGGGACATCAACAGAAACAAGGGGAATTAACAGAAGCAAGGACACCAGCACTACCAGGCAGACGCGTGGTCCCAATATTGAAGCGAGACTTCAATGTCGAAGCGGTCTGCGACGGCCGGTTTATCTGCGCCGTTTGCGTCGCGTTCAGGGCCGCAGCGGCGCAGTTTACGGCTACACAGCAGGGCTTTAATGCCGCAACCCAATCACCTTGCCAATCATCGGCGAATCAGGGACAGCCAATTATTGATTACAAATTTTAGATTGCCGAATATTAGATATTTTTATATATAATAATCAATATTAACATATTATTAACATATTATTCAACTTATTTCATATTAACAATATGAAATAAGTTGAAACGCGACCCTTATGTTCCGTGAGTCTGTAGCACCTCGGCCTCTTAGAAGATCTTTTCCAAAATGAACCTTGCCAACGAACCTTTTTCGGATATACAGTGAATATTAATCGGCCGACCATAAGATGCCTTAAATCACTTATGAATGCTACTGAAATGAGCGTGTTTGCTACGGGCTCATTCGAATTAAAAATTCACCAATCTTTTTCCTTGTAGAAATACAAGTTGTGTGGCTTCTGAAATCAACCTCAAATCGGTTTAGTTTGCGTCTTTGCGACGAGGCGTTGGTGTGTGCAAAGCCTGTACAAAGAAACTTGTTCGCGTTTTTCAAATACCTGTTAATCTAATTGAAATGGAACAAACTCGGTTACTACTGCAGTCGTTTTAAAAAGCATTTCATGTAAATAGTACATTCCATCTAAATAGTACATAGCACATGAAAGAACTTCAATGATAAATGGTTTAATCAATTTGTCTAAATAACGTGCACCTCGGGTAGGAATAGCACTGTATAAGTGAAATGAACAACTGCCACAGCTATTGTGTTAATTGTGTTGATATTGTCGTACGGAGGCCGTGCCGACGACGGCCTATGTTTTCTTGCAGAATTCGAGCGGTGCGGTCCAATATCACAGGCGAGCCATAATCCCACCGATCTAATTTGCATGCATAATTTAATAGAAATCCTGGGCATGACCGCCCCACGGAAATGCGTCCACATCCGCGGATTATTCACGCGACGAAGACTCTAATTACCGGACTACCGTGAGTCCCGACCATCTGGGGACCAGGGTGTGAGGGATGCCGTGAGTCCCGACCATCTGGGGACCAGGGTATGGGTGATACCGTGAGTCTCCAACTGGGGACAGGGGTGTGGGGGATACCGTGAGTCCCGACCATCTGGGGACCAGGGTGTGGGTGATACCGCGAGTCCCGACCAACTGGGGACCAGGGTGTGGGGAATACCGTAAGCCCAGACCATCTGGGGACCAGGGTGTGGGGGAACTGTGAGTCCCGACCATCTGGGGACCGGGGTGTGGGGATACCGTAAGCCCAGACCATCTGAGGACCAGGGTGTGGGGGATACCGTGAGTCCCGACCATCTGGGGACCAGGGTGTGGGGATACCGTGAGTCCCATTCATCTGGGGAGCAGGGTGTGGGTGATACCGTGAGTCCCGACCATCTGGGGACCAGGGTGTGAGTACCGTGGGTCCCGACCATCTGGGGACCAGGGTGTGAGTACCGAGAGTCCCAACCATCTGGGGACCAGGGTGGGGGGGATACCGCGAGTCCCGACCATCTGGGGACCAGGGTGTGCGGGGTATCGTGAGTCCCGAAAGGAAAGAAAACGCCGGTAGGGGCAAGGTTGTAGGGGATGATACTTTATTTTTATTTATTATTGTTTAATGATTGTGGGGACCGGAAAAGATTGTCCATATACGATATGAATGATTATGAATGCACTGATGAAAGCAATTAATTTGAGTTCGACCCAGAACAGAAGATATAATATAATTACGTGGTATCAACTTAAACAATAGGCGATCACAACTTATGCAGAAACAGCGGACGCTGGACAAAAATCTTTGTCCTATTGTGAGAACACTGAAGGTTATTGTTAAATGATTACACAAAACTTATTCAGCACAGTTTTAAGAAGCTATATATCACCAGTCAACAATGGCCCAATAGTCCTGGTAAATCACGAGAAAAAATCGATCGATTAAACTAGAGACAATCTTGCACAGCGGTGATTGCAGTGACGTCAGCAATCACTAACAAGTCTGCTTAACGAGGCCGCGTCGTCTCATTGAACCATTAATTAGTGCCTCTGATTCACCAGAAAAAGATCGACATGAAGTCGTGCATTTTTTACAGTCGTGCATTGGCTTTAATTTCTAGCGCTAAATTTCCTTGAAGTGGAAAGAGTTTGCGTTCATTTTTGTATTTATTTCCGCACTGGTTGTAACTAAAGGCCATATCAATAATTGCAGAAAAAGTTTCCCAATAGGAGAGAAAACGTGTTTAACTCAGCGGTCTGTAGCAAGTGCATAGTAGTCAATTCAACGCATTATTTAGAATTAGAAAAATTACTTTTCTGAGGCACACTTAATAATACAATGTAGTGATATAAAAAAAACAGACGGGTGCCAACTACAGCTAGGCACAATTGTACACAATAAATAAAGCAAGTTTCGATGATCGCAATGATATGGAAGCCTTTGATGGCCACACAATATTGGCCGCTGCATTATACGACAGCGAATCATCGGTGCCGTTCGAAATCCGGTAACAGTATCCTCGGCGACAAAACTTTAGATTAGCGCATTTCTTTACATAATTCAGGCTCAAAGTCTGCATACGCATAATTTGTTTGTTTCAGGCATAAGGTCAACATAGCGCATTTTTCGATAAAATTCATTCACGACCGGGTCTAGATAGCTCATTTTTTGACATATTTCATACACCGCAGGCGCCCTGTACTGGGAGGTCGCGTTGTAAGAATAATGCTGGGAGAGCGGCCGTGTAAATCACGTGCAGCAAAGCGAGATTTGTCTCGCATTATGATTAGGTTGGGAATATTTGGACATGTAATACATGCAATGTCATTACGGAGCTACAATGTTGAAATGTTGAAGCCGGATTTGCATTAAACTATCAATTTTGCACACAAGTAAAACAAGTTTTACGAATTATTTTACATTTTCATTAGCGAAATTGGAATGAAGCAATTAAGTAAGTTCTTATGCAATGAAAATTCTACAAACCAATCATTATTTGAAGGGAATGAATATAGTTAGTAGGTACTAACAAAATACTACTCTAATACGACATACTAATACTAACAAGAAAATGAATCAAAAATGACTACTAGTAATACTACGAATATTAATAATCGCTCTTTGCAAGCACCGAATAATATCGTAATTGTAAATAAATAATAGCAATTCAAGCCAAATTAACGACCATGTGAGCGTCAGCGGCGAAAAAAAACATCGGCTAACGATTTAAGGCAATCCAAAAGCTGCAGTCGTTCGGAATTATATTTTAAATAAAAAAATTAAAGCGACAATTCGGTCATCTTCATAAAATTTTCTTCATAACTCGGAAGAATAATTGATGAGACAGCTAACATCATACGAGATCCTTCGACTATGCAATTGCAGAAACGGAATCTTTAAAAAAATATATTTAGAATGAAATGATTCCTTCAGTTCGGCCAACATGACGTATATGTCGACAGGACATCGTGCCCGGGGCAGCGAGGCGGCCTGAGTGAAGCCGTTCCGCTTTAGGCCGCGAGTTCACCTGCTTGCACTTCCCTGCTCCACCGCCCAACATGCTCCATGTTGCTGCTCCAGGTGATGCACTTCCCTGCTCCACCGCCCAAAATGCTCCATGTTGCTGCTCCAGGTGTTGCACTTCCCTGCTGCACCGCCCAACATGCTCCATGTTGCTGCTCCAGGTGATGCACTTCCCTGCTCCACTGCTACAATTCTCCATAATGGTACAACTACTTTAACCCTCATCAGCCGGCTTTACTAGCAGTATAAGTATAATTAGAAGTAGTAGTTTACCTCTCTACAAGTATTAGTTAGCATTCCGGTTCTCCAGAGTATATTACTCCGCGCTCTCGCTCCAAGTAACGCGAGTACGTTTGCCTGCCCACGCGTTTCGTTATAATGAAGAAAAGAACGCAGAACTGAGCAGCAGCTATAATCAGAGATTTGTAGCGACTGTTATTGCGACGCAAGATTTTACATAAACACTCACACGAGAGACACATGTATTTTCGCATCACAGTTTTGACACATCCAGACATGAAATGAAGTTATTTGCGCATCTCGGTTTTCGATAAGTTAATCTATTTTATTATAGTGCTTGCATAAAATTATTTATGTACACGCATAAATGAACAGCGGCGAATCTGTCGTGCTGCCTCGATGGTAGCTCAGAGCTTCGCAGCAATAAACGTTGAAAAGACGAACAAGAAGATTGTTAATAAAAAGCATGTTCTGGTCTTCAATCAAACTTGCATAAAATTATTTATGTACACATATAAATGAACAGCAGTGATGGTAGCTTAGAGCTTCGCAGTAATACAGCCAAACATAAAGCCAAACAAACGATGAGACCCAGAAGGCTTTACTTCTCGAGACTTCGTCTCAGCAACTGCCCTGACTCAGCAAATAATATAACTGCTCCAGTCAAGCTTCCCGACTCGTTCACATACCCATACGGAAATATCCTCAGAATTATTAGTGGTCATTCATATGCCATTGGTCGGCCGGCGATGAGACGTTCACGATTTACAATGAGGAAACATTTCTATCATAAATAAACTTGCTTATTATTGGTAAGGGCTGAAGGAGTCACAAATCAAATTGCTTTATTTTGACAGTCAGGCTTTGAAATTGAAGGCGCAATACCCCAGCATAATAAATGAAATGTTTCCGCGTATTCAGCCACCGATGATGAAAATATTTTTCAAAGTTTTGCCTCCTTTGTAGTATAAATTTACCCTTTCTCGATAGAAGCCACAAACGCAGCAGCCAAGCAGTGCCACAAGCCATCAGGATGGCTACGGCAGCAGCCAAGCAGTGCCACAAGCCACCAGGATGGCTACGGCAGCAGCCAAGCAGTGCCACAAGCCACCAGGATGGCTACGGCAGCAGCCAGGCAGTGCCACAAGCCACCAGGATGGCTACGGCAGCAGCCAGGCAGTGCCACAAGCCACCAGGATGGCTACGGCAGCAGCCAGGCAGTGCCACAAGCCACCAGGATGGCTACGGCAGCAGCCAGGCAGTGCCACAAGCCACCAGGATGGCTACGGCAGCAGCCAGGCAGTGCCACAAGCCACCAGGATGGCTACGGCAGCAGCCAGGCAGTGCCACAAGCCACCAGGATGGCTACGGCAGCAGCCAGGCAGTGCCACAAGCCACCAGGATGGCTACGGCAGCAGCCAGGCAGTGCCACAAGCCACCAGGATGGCTACGGCAGCAGCCAGGCAGTGCCACAAGCCACCAGGATGGCTACGGCAGCAGCCAGGCAGTGCCACAAGCCACCAGGATGGCTACGGCAGCAGCCAGGCAGTGCCACAAGCCACCAGGATGGCTACGGCAGCAGCCAGGCAGTGCCACAAGCCACCAGGATGGCTACGGCAGCAGCCAGGCAGTGCCACAAGCCACCAGGATGGCTACGGCAGCAGCCAGGCAGTGCCACAAGCCACCAGGATGGCTACGGCAGCAGCCAGGCAGTGCCACAAGCCACCAGGATGGCTACGGCAGCAGCCAGGCAGTGCCACAAGCCACCAGGATGGCTACGGCAGCAGCCAGGCAGTGCCACAAGCCACCAGGATGGCTACGGCAGCAGCCAGGCAGTGCCACAAGCCACCAGGATGGCTACGGCAGCAGCCAGGCAGTGCCACAAGCCACCAGGATGGCTACGGCAGCAGCCAGGCAGTGCCACAAGCCACCAGGATGGCTACGGCAGCAGCCAGGCAGTGCCACAAGCCACCAGGNCTCATCTGTCGTGCTGTCTCATCTGTCGTGCTGTCTCATCTGTCGTGCTGTCTCATCTGCCGTGCTGCCTCATCTGTCGTGCTGTCTCATCTGTCGTGCTGTCTCATCTGTCGCGTCAGACACACCACGTCTCATCACTTGGCTTCACAATACATCACGCGTCATCAAGTTTCACCAAATAATTACCCGTCATCAATTACCAAAAATGAAGATAATTACTGAAAAATAAAATAAATCCCGGGTAATTAAAGGTCCAGGAAGACGGTTCAGAAGAACGGTTGTAGCGGCCATGATGATTTTGAGCCGTGCAGTCGCTCTTGATGTACGGCTGTTAATGTAGCCCCTAATTTGGCGGGTGTAGACAATTTATAGCCGCCACTGTGGACAAGTACGGACGATTTACGACCAAGCCTCGGCGGCGGTTTGTAGCAGCTTACACTTAATTCATTAAGTGGTTCAGATAAGAGGTTCAACTCTATCAATTATCATGGTCGCATTATCGGTGGCCAGACTATGGTTGTTTACCATCACCGAATCATTCCTCAGTTTTGTAAAATTTAACGTTTTTTCTTGAAGGCCGCGCATTTGAAACTCATTGAAGGCATATTTTCAATGTTCGTCCCGATTAGCAACGGAAATTGTGAAGGAATTGATATATATTTGAATAACCGAGCAATTTATCAATATTGTTTCAGTAAATTAGAATTCGGAAAACATCCACACGCAATTCAGAGAACGTGGGAGAAAATTTGTCTTACTTTATAGTTTACATTGGTGCATTGTAATGCCACGAATTTTACAATTATTCTCAATCCGGAATCTTGTATTACTTTGATATGTCATTCAGAGAAGCGTGGAAGAATTTTTTCGCGTATTTCAAGGTTTAGGAATACAACAATCAAGTATTTAATACAAAGGAAAATTTTCACTGTAGAAAAATTCCCGCTTCACTGTTTTAGTAAAGTGATCATTATTTAAAATATTTGAAAATTCAAATTTCTGGAAATGCGGAACTTGCGGAAGTGTACAATTAATATGGCTGGAGGCACGAATAAACAATCAATATTTTCACTGAGCTCGGCCCGAATCGGAGTTCAGAACAATTGATCGAATTGAGTTTTTACTAATTGAATCTCAATCATGAATTAAAATACTCAATTAGTGGATTAATAATGATTAAATTCTTCAAATTCGGTTGAAAGTTACGTTTGGAAGGACGCAAGTTCCCCTTCTTTTCTAATTGATATTGATGACCAAGCATCCAATCAGTTAACAGCATCTAATATTCATCATTAGGACATTTTGAAATTCACATTTAGGCAACACAACTTACGTGAATTCTGAAAAATATGGATTAAGCAATGGTTCTATACCTTTGCCAATTAATGCCGAAGAGTTGGATCACATAAATTTAAATAAAACTATACCGAAGCCGCTACTGTTTTCGTGCAAGTCACAACTTAATTAATACATTCAAGGTTGTATTTCCGGTACGTAGAATTATTAAATGTATGTGCTTCTAGTATGTACATTTCTATATAGTATTAGATGTTTTGGTGGATAACTCAAGTAATCCGGTGAACGCACTTGGCAGACAGGGCCTGCCGATGAAGAAAGCTCGTCAAGTGGAGCACGATCACCAAATAGCAATGCAATAAACCCAGTATCGGCCATTCATCGCTAGGAAAGTTTTTATGGCTACATAACATCGCAAGCGACGACGCAAGAACCGAATCACGACGTCTATTGAAGGTCATGTCAGTAGAAGTAGGAGAGTTTTATGAATAATTTATGAGCTACAATTGGGAACGTGTCTTTTCGCCAAAAAGTAATATCTTAATAGAAGGAATACAATAGTGAATAAATAAATTATGAATAATTTAGGATTGAATAATGAATTTATGAATAATTTCATACAATAGTTTCAGTGCTAATTCTAGTTAAGCAAGTTACACGTTGTGAAATTTTATTGAAAGGAGGAATTAATTGAATTTAAGCTTGAACCTAAAATTTTAAATGCTTGTATTCATAGAGCTACGGATTTATTTCGACAAAATTAAAAGCCAAGAAAGGATAAATGGCTGGAGCCGCGTCAAGGGAAGTACAGCGGCAACAGGTAAGTAGAAGCGTCTGAGTCGCCACTATAGCTACACGCACCAGCTTAGCGGTTCATATTGTGAAAAATTGGTTGATTTGAATGAATGGATCATAGAAGACAAGGTAAAAATCATCGAGCAATTTGAAGCAGTTAATTCAAATGAGGTTATAGTAAACTAAATATATTCACCTGCGATTAAATTGCCACTTAGTGTGGCAATGCACTTTAAGGAAGAATTGAATTTGATGAAAAAACTGTAGTAGCTGATGGATGCTTCAGACGGAAATAAAGTAAGAAAAGTTGAAGATTGGTTCGTTGAAGTAAGATTGAAGTTAAAGCGATTAGGCGTGATCTCTAAAACAAAAGCTTGCGTTTGAGCCGCATCCACTTAAAGTTGCATAATTAAAGTTAAATTTTAATAAATTAGACAATTGAAGTCTAAAGCATCGCACACGATAATTAAGCATAGATTCGGGCGAAATTAACAAAACGAAAGAATATCGGGTACTCAAACCAAGGAACAGATAAATAACAGAACAATGAAAATAATTAGACCAAGAGTTGAATGCTGGTGAAATAGCGGCGGCAGACGACAGGCTGGCTGGACATCACAGAATCAGGGCCTTTACTTTCAAAAAAAGTTAAGAGATCGTAAGTTCATCAGCCAATCATTGACGGCCTTTCAAGCAAAATCCACCATCATAGACAAGAAAATAGAGCGTATATAAGTACTTACGTTCACTTAGCGAGTTTTGAAAGTATGGCCCCAGGTGTTGCTATAAGGTGGTGTATCAGTGCGAACTCTTCTCAATTACGGAAACCCGGCTCCGACCTAAACTAACCTAACATTAAACTTACCCTAGAATTGGCTAAAACTATAATCTTATTCCAGCGAAATAATGTTGAATGAATGAACAAAATTAAGCAGTAGCGTGAATTTTCCCACAAATTAATCAATCTACTGGAGGTGAAAGTAACATTAGGTGGCGGCATAAAGTAGCATCAATTGTGGTGGCATGAAGCGGCATCAACTGTGGCAGCAGGAAGTGACAACTGCAGAAAGTGGCATCAACTGTGGCAGCAGGAAGTTACGAAAGAATATCGGGTACTCAAACCAAGGAACAGATAAATAACAGAACAATGAAAATAATTAGACCAAGAGTTGAATGCTGGTGAAATAGCGGCTCAGACGACAGGCCAGCTGGACATCACAGAAACAGGTGTTGCTACGGCGTGGTATCGGTGCGAACTCTTCTTAATTACGGAAACCCGGCCCCGACCTAAACTAACCTAACATTAAACATACCCTAGATTTAACTAAAACTACAATCTTATTCCAGCGAAACAATGTTGAAGGAATGAACAAAATTAAGGAACGGTGTGAATTTTCCCACAAATAAATCAATCTACAGGAGGTAGCAAGTAATATCAGGCGGCGGCAAAAATTAACATCAATTGTGGTGGCACGAAGCGGCATCAAATGCGACAGCAAGAAGTGACATCAACTGTGGCAGTAGGAAGTGACATCAACTATAGCAGCAGAAAGCGGTATCAACTGCTTCGGCAGAAAGTGTCATCAACTGTGGCAGCAAGAAGTGGCATCAACTACAGAAAGTGGCATCAGGTGGCAACGGAAGGTAAAAGGCCTTAGGGCTTCGGCTGCTGATGGCCGACGTCTGTGTCTCGAGATAAGCGTTTATGGCAGCCGAAGAATTTGCATCTGTTGATACAACGAATCTGATATAGCAAACGCAACTTTCTAGTATCGGCTTATACACATGAAGAACAAGGCACGAGTTTAATTAATATCTTTGCAATTACTACGTATATTTATTACTGCTACGCGACTCACTGTAATGTTAATTATTGCTACGCTAACAGATATTAGGCGAATAATCCAATCCAACAAATCCAATCATTCATGTGATGAATTAAATACATGAATCCCAGATAATAGGTCAGACAGTCAGAGATACAAGTCAGACTCTGTCCACATCACAACGTTCTGTTTGCCCAATTGTTGGTCAATCTACGTTAAAATAAATTAGATACGCCGCTCGTATCTACGTTCAAATAAATTAATACATCATGCGTGAAGAACTGTAGTAGTAATCATTTTGTTAACAGCCTTCCCTTTCAAATTCAATTCATAATCACGCTGCTTCTCTCCAATATAGTAACAGAAATTAATTTCCTTTCACGGATTTGAGCCGAAAATCACGCGTTGAATTCGTTAGTGACAATTAAGGAGGGGGTCGAGAGCTTAGGCCATCCTGAGATCCATGCACCACGGTATGCCATCGGTGCTACAGCAATAAAAGTGATGAAGAGGTGCAATTAAAGAGCGGCTGGGACAAGAACAAGAAACGTTTTGCGTGGAACGTGAAACGTTTTGTGAATGGTAAGAGAATACATAAGGGAGGAACAAGGGATATAACGGATATTCCGTTCTATCAACGGACAGCTATGGGGCGGAAGAGCCGCATATTGGGTCTGTAAGCCTCTCACGAGCTGGAGCCGGAGAGGCTGCATGCAGTCGCGGCAACGATTGCACTCGTGGCAACGATTGCACTCGACAGCAATGGCAATACAAGCCTGGCATTGCCACGGGGGGCACAGGAAACGAACGAGTGAAGAGCTACAGAGTTGCTGACTAACGCTTAGGTAACAATATCGTGGGTGACGAGCTCCCGGATGGGTTACATAATATTGGATACTAAACTCTTGAGTAAGAAGGTATTGGTGGCAAACTCTTGAGTGAGAAAGTCTTGGGTGACCAAGTATTGCACGACAAAATCTTGAGTGAAGAACTCTTGGTTCTTCAAACACTGCCATATTATGCGTAAGTCGTGATTTATATAAGCGCGGTGTGTGCTCACGGAATCTGTGTAAAAGCGGTCAAAAATGTGTTCGTTATACTTGAGGCTCTCAGGCGAACCATCAACACGATAGCGAGAACCTTCTATGTAGTCGACATCACAGTTGAAACTTGATGGATGGTAAGCATTCACATTTGAAAGTCTGGAGCATAATACGAGTTTCAATCATACAGGAATGATTTAGTCTTACCAGTTTCGAAAATAGTTCAATTTTTGGAATTAAATAAATTACTTGCCTAAAAGGC